GAATCATAGAAACCGTCTGCATCTTTGACTAACCTGTTCCTTCAACATTTTCTTTTAAAGGAAATTCTAAGCAGTGACATCATCATCCTGACCATCACCCGCTGCATAGCCATCGTCTACATATATTTCCAGTTCCAGAGCTTAAGACAACTGGGATCCAAATACATTCTGGGTAAGTCGCAGTTGATCACAGCATGTCTGCAGGATGCCTAAAACATCTGATATGTTTTTAGCAGTTTTTCCTACAACATATCAGGTTCCTCTGTCTTCTTCCAGGCATTGCTGGTCTTTTTACCATTTTCTCCAGCTTCGTGTTCAGCACCGTCGTTATCCACTTCTTCGATAAGGAACTCACTGGCTTAAAGTAAGTTTCCATCAGCATGTGACCCTTCTGCTTGTTAACCCATAAGCTCTAACATGCCCCCATCCCGCAGTGAGGCGCTGCCCTTCTTCTTGCTTCTCATCGACCTCTCCAAGGCGTGCACCCTCGCCAAGTTCGCCTTAAGCTCCAACTCTCAGGTGAGAAGAGACATTTTCTCTCTGCGGGTTGCAGCATCCATCAGGAGATTGTAAGTTTCCTGTTTTTTCCCTCTGGGCTTTGCAGGATGAAGTGAGGGAGAACATTGCTTCTGGCATGGCTGTCCTGGGACCTACCTTCACGCTGGACGCTCTGGTGGAGTGCTTACTCATCGGAGTAGGAACCATGTCAGGTAGGACTTGCTTTCTCCTTATTTAGCAGCAAACGTCAAGTGAGTGGTGTCATCCGAAAGAGCAGAAAAAGGTTTTTTAATCATCTACTCATCCTAATCATTATGTATAATAAGCAGTTATTTGTTCTGATTTACTTTTAAGTTTCGGTCTTTTTTTTCTTTTTTTTCTTGGCTCTCACTGCTCGGTTTAAATTATTCCTAATGCTCTCATTTATTTTCCACTTAAAAAATGCTAACTTTAATAAAGGTTGGAAATTATGCATGTTTGTTTGGATGTCTGTAGTAAGTCAGAGGATGCTCAGCAGCTTCTGGAGTCCAACAAACCTCCAGCTGGAACCGTTCGGTGGCTTGAGTCAGACTCATCCCAACCATCCATAAAATCATAAACCGTCTAGTCTTGATTATGGATTACCAGAGTTGTCACAAGTTATCACCATCATTACTCAAATAGAAGTGAAGATACCGGGATTAAAAAACAAATTTTAAAGAAGTTCAGGTATAAAATTACTAGTTTTAAAACTTCTTATAAAGTATTAAAGTAAAGGTAATGTGAAGGGGTAAACATGCCAAAAAGTACGAAAGCTTGTATGATATATACAAATGTTAACCTCTCCATCCATGAGAGAAATATCAGCTG